CACACACACACACACCCATACCCACAATACCAATGATTACCACTACCAATTCATCCACTCTCTCCCATCCTACTCTCCTCATCACCCATCATCCATCAACAACTACATCCACATCAAAATAATCATGCACATTCTCATCACAACTACTTTGAATTATCACAACACCACCAACACCAACACCAACAACAACACCACAGCCACCACCATCACAAACAACAACAACAAAAACAACAACGAATAACTGTTTATCAACATTCACATCGTGCACGCTATTCATCGGTCGAAGCGAAACACAACACATTCATTGCACTCTACACGTTCACCAGTCACCAGTATCAACAACATCGACACTGCACACACATACGCACGCACGCACGCACGCACGCACGCACGCACACACGCACACACACTCACTATCATATACCACTCGTCACAGTATCAACAAACCACAAGCCAGATTCATTGAACCGTTCGAATTGGAGCACATTCAAACAATAACATCAACAACATGAGCATCGTCAGCTTCATCTTCGTCAACACCATTGTTATTAGCAACAGCATCAACAGCAGTAGAATAAGTAGTAGTACTACTAGTAGTAGTAGTATTAGTAGTAGTAGTACTAGTACTAGTAGTAGTAGTAGTAGTAGTGTTAGTAGTTGATGTAGTAGTTGTATTAACTCAACAACAACAACAACAACAACAACCACCATCACCACCACCACTAATCGATTGTTCCTGACAACCGATCCAACAGACTGAGAGTCCTTCTTCTCCACCTGACCACCCACACATAAGTCACCATCACATCCACAACCACCGATTGGTGGACATCATTTCTCGTTCAGTTGTTGACGTTGCACATCAGTGCAGTTGAATGTAGCCGATCAGTCAGACTGAGGTTACTGCTATGTTGCCTGCCGTACTCGTGACCACTTGAACAACCGCCTATTCAACTCTGTGTTGCACCCGACGATGCTGCTTCTACCACTGGTGCAGTCGGTGCCGATGCTGATGCTGATGCTTCTACTAATACCAGTGCCTGTCATGTTCACTTGATTGCGCAATGATCTGCACGGCAACTGACTGGTTGATGACTGGTGCTTCGACTCGTCTGAACTTCTGCCTAATCATCGACGGGTGAATTGTTCCGTGTTGGACATTGAATAAGTGCCTGAACAGATTCCATTGTGCTCAGCTATTATTCTCGTGTGCAATCTTCCAAGCTATCACTTGGACTGATTGTCCCAGTAATGAGCACGTCGTGACTCCTTACACAAATCAGGTCGAGGCAAGTATGGTGATCTTGACCGACCGTTGACGAAGCGGACTGAATATCGAATGATGATTGGAAGTGGGGTGATGACGGGTGAATCACAATGGCAAGGCTCACTGTGGTTATCGTGATCATGAACCGGTCAGCCATGTCTACCTGTGATAAATGCGAATTGATCGTCAACGAGTGAATGAATGTTCATCGATGGCGACCAGCGTGTTGTTGACTCGGGCTCCATAGAGAATGTGTGTTCATAGGACATGTGGATGGGAATACTATACTGAATGTGAATGACTGTGAGCATTGGTCACATGCAGTCAGTATAGTTGGTTGTGTTTGTCGTGGGAGTTGCACGGTGCGGATGAGTTATTGCGTGAATGTCTCCCGACGGGAATGATGTTGCGGTGATATCTGCCTATATGCATATGGGATGATGAGTGATGGTGTTATTGTGACTGTGTATAGCATGGACTGTGATGAATTTAAAAGTGGTATGCGTCGGCCGGGAATCGAACCCGGGCCGCCCGCGTGGCAGGCGAGCATTCTACCACTGAACCACCGACGCCCGAATATCTAGTACGCAACAACACACACACACACACATCCACATGACCGACACACCAACACACACACACACACACACCCATACCCACAATACCAATGATTACCACTACCAATTCATCCACTCTCTCCCATCCTACTCTCCTCATCACCCATCATCCATCAACAACTACATCCACATCAAAATAATCATGCACATTCTCATCACAACTACTTTGAATTATCACAACACCACCAACACCAACACCAACAACAACACCACAGCCACCACCATCACAAACAACAACAACAAAAACAACAACGAATAACTGTTTATCAACATTCACATCGTGCACGCTATTCATCGGTCGAAGCGAAACACAACACATTCATTGCACTCTACACGTTCACCAGTCACCAGTATCAACAACATCGACACTGCACACACATACGCACGCACGCACGCACGCACGCACGCACACACGCACACACACTCACTATCATATACCACTCGTCACAGTATCAACAAACCACAAGCCAGATTCATTGAACCGTTCGAATTGGAGCACATTCAAACAATAACATCAACAACATGAGCATCGTCAGCTTCATCTTCGTCAACACCATTGTTATTAGCAACAGCATCAACAGCAGTAGAATAAGTAGTAGTACTAGTAGTAGTAGTAGTATTAGTAGTAGTAGTACTAGTACTAGTAGTAGTAGTAGTAGTAGTGTTAGTAGTTGATGTAGTAGTTGTATTAACTCAACAACAACAACAACAACAACAACAACCACCATCACCACCACCACTAATCGATTGTTCCTGACAACCGATCCAACAGACTGAGAGTCCTTCTTCTCCACCTGACCACCCACACATAAGTCACCATCACATCCACAACCACCGATTGGTGGACATCATTTCTCGTTCAGTTGTTGACGTTGCACATCAGTGCAGTTGAATGTAGCCGATCAGTCAGACTGAGGTTACTGCTATGTTGCCTGCCGTACTCGTGACCACTTGAACAACCGCCTATTCAACTCTGTGTTGCACCCGACGATGCTGCTTCTACCACTGGTGCAGTCGGTGCCGATGCTGATGCTGATGCTTCTACTAATACCAGTGCCTGTCATGTTCACTTGATTGCGCAATGATCTGCACGGCAACTGACTGGTTGATGACTGGTGCTTCGACTCGTCTGAACTTCTGCCTAATCATCGACGGGTGAATTGTTCCGTGTTGGACATTGAATAAGTGCCTGAACAGATTCCATTGTGCTCAGCTATTATTCTCGTGTGCAATCTTCCAAGCTATCACTTGGACTGATTGTCCCAGTAATGAGCACGTCGTGACTCCTTACACAAATCAGGTCGAGGCAAGTATGGTGATCTTGACCGACCGTTGACGAAGCGGACTGAATATCGAATGATGATTGGAAGTGGGGTGTTGACGGGTGAATCACAATGGCAAGGCTCACTGTGGTTATCGTGATCATGAACCGGTCAGCCATGTCTACCTGTGATAAATGCGAATTGATCGTCAACGAGTGAATGAATGTTCATCGATGGCGACCAGCGTGTTGTTGACTCGGGCTCCATAGAGAATGTGTGTTCATAGGACATGTGGATGGGAATACTATACTGAATGTGAATGACTGTGAGCATTGGTCACATGCAGTCAGTATAGTTGGTTGTGTTTGTCGTGGGAGTTGCACGGTGCGGATGAGTTATTGCGTGAATGTCTCCCGACGGGAATGATGTTGCGGTGATATCTGCCTATATGCATATGGGATGATGAGTGATGGTGTTATTGTGACTGTGTATAGCATGGACTGTGATGAATTTAAAAGTGGTATGCGTCGGCCGGGAATCGAACCCGGGCCGCCCGCGTGGCAGGCGAGCATTCTACCACTGAACCACCGACGCCCGAATATCTAGTACGCAACAACACACACACACACATCCACATGACCGACACACCAACACACACACACACACACCCATACCCACAATACCAATGATTACCACTACCAATTCATCCACTCTCTCCCATCCTACTCTCCTCATCACCCATCATCCATCAACAACTACATCCACATCAAAATAATCATGCACATTCTCATCACAACTACTTTGAATTATCACAACACCACCAACACCAACACCAACAACAACACCACAGCCACCACCATCACAAACAACAACAACAAAAACAACAACGAATAACTGTTTATCAACATTCACATCGTGCACGCTATTCATCGGTCGAAGCGAAACACAACACATTCATTGCACTCTACACGTTCACCAGTCACCAGTATCAACAACATCGACACTGCACACACATACGCACGCACGCACGCACGCACGCACGCACACACGCACACACACTCACTATCATATACCACTCGTCACAGTATCAACAAACCACAAGCCAGATTCATTGAACCGTTCGAATTGGAGCACTGTAGCATCATATAAAGACAGAGGGTCCACCAGTGTTCGCACGTCCAAGACGCCTTGACCCCTCTCGTTTGGCTCTAGCAAAGAACGAATTCAACAAAATGATAGAGTTGGGTATCATACGCCCCTCCGATAGTCCGTGGGCATCACCGCTCCATTTGGTACCCAAGAAAAACTCTTCCGAAGTTAGACCGTGCGGTGACTATAGAGCTCTCAACAGCCGTACTATACCAGACAGATATCCACTTCCACATTTGCATGACTTCACTCATAGTCTATCTGATGTGACGATTTTTTCAAAAGTTGATCTCGTCCGCGCTTACCATCACATTCCAATTCACCCGGACGACGTTCCCAAAACAGCCATTACTACCCCATTTGGATTATACGAATTTGTTCGCATGCCTTTCGGATTAAGGAATGCTGCACAAAGTTTCCAGCGTTTTATCGACCAAGTAGTACGTGGCTTACCTTTCGTATATGCTTACATAGATGACCTTCTTATCGCAAGCAAAAATGAAAATGAACATCTAATTCATCTGAAAATGCTTTTTGAGAAGCTAAACGAGTATGGGTTAACAGTCAACCCTGACAAATGTGAGTTCGGAAAACAATCCCTTACCTTTTTAGGTCACGTAATTGATAGTCAAGGCATCAAACCAGTTCCTGAGGAAACACAAGCCATCAAAAATTATCCTTTACCTGATTCATTCAAGAAACTAA